GGATTCCTGCCCCATCCCCAGGGGCTAGGGCGGGGCCCCAAAGGGAACATTTACCAATATTTTCAAATTCTTATCCATTGATGACATGACAAGTATTGTATTTCACTTAGTTTACATGCTGATTTCCACATCACATCTAAACAATAAAATAAAGCTACCAGTACCTATGATATAACTCAGGTGACCGCTAAGGCCCTTGGGCCTCTTGTATCCATTTTCAGCAGAAAATTACTCAAACATAGTCAGAATCATCTTTGGTGAATTAGGGTATTACATTGTAAAATTAGGATTCCTGCCCGATCCCAAGGGGCTAGGGCAGGACCCCAAAGGGAACATTTACTAATGTTTTCAAATTCTTATCCTTTGATGACATGACAAGTATTGTATTTCACTTAGTTTACATGCCGATTTCCACATCACACCTAAACAATAAAATAAAGCTACCAGTACCTATGATATAACTCAGGTGACCGCTAAGGCCCTTGGGCCTCTTGTTAAGTTAGCCGTGTAAAATACCCGACTACACCCAGCACAGTTTCTGAAACATATTTAACCTAAGCGTATCTCGGTTTACTTAGTACATTCTTTCGGAGATTTATGTCTGTTTATCAATAATTAGGTTTGACACTTCTATTAACGTTTGCAGACAAAATGTATTTTACACATTGATTCCGTTTACTCATCTGAATTAAGTTTGCGTATATTTCGAGTGTAAGCAGTAGCCTTTCTAGATAGCTGGTAGCCCTAAAAAGGTCTTTTTGTAAAGTGTACTCATTAAAAGGACTTTTCCCTCGTAGATTCGACTGTAACCAGAGTTCCGTTATGCTGCCAGATCTTGTCAGGGTGTTGTTTCATCATCATTCTGTTGAGTAACGATGCTTTCTTGTTGTAGCGTCGGTTGTGTCGCGGAAATAGCTCTCCAAATATTACTTCTTTAACTTCCTGGGACTTCAACTCGTCATGCATCTGTATCATGAGTCTTTTGCTATCCGAGACGGACTATGTCATCAGATCGTTTTCTCCGGCCTGGATGAAAACCGAGTGATACTCCAAAAAATCGGTTGATGAAATGATGTTTCGGAGCATGGCGAGCGTCATTCCCCCGGTTCCAAACGCATCAAATGCAAAGTCGGGCAAGGCGATCTCTTCAGCCATCCATCTAACTATGAGCCGTCTGATGAAGCTATTCCCATGATACAAATCTTCTTCTCATCCCTGGACAGAAACCGGTACATGCATTTTTGGAAGGTATTCATGGCGAATGGTTTCTTGTACCAGTCGCCATGAATACCTTCCAAAAATGCATGTATTATTTCGACTCGTGATTAATCAATTAAAGTGTCACCAATTACATGCTCACCATAAATACGAATGGTGAGCATGTAATTGGTGACACTTTGATTGATTAATCACGAGTCAAAATAATAACATATGCTTATTTGATGTGACGCGCATTATCAAAGGACAATTTTAATTAATGTTGGGATAGCGTTCATGGTGCCACTTTGTAATAGACTTATTTAAACCAACCTGTTTTGTTTTGTACCGATATTCGGTTTATATCTTGTTTATACCCATGTCAAAGGGGGGGGGGGGGGGGGGGTGGTCGTAGGGTCCTCTGAACCTTGAAGCACATCGAGTCTGAGCACTGTTCCGGTTTGCCTATCAATTCCACGAAAACCAGTTCATGGGTGTAATCGTTCATTTCATATGAGAAAAAGTACTTCACTACACCCACAAATTGCCCCTGAGGCAGATCGCAGGCAACCATGCAGGCTTTCTCTCGTTGGTTAGGGTCCTCTATGGAAGTGTCTATATTGTACCTCTGATCCTTCGAGATGTCTCTTCGCGTAGTGGAAGACAGTGATACACTGGTTGGTGAGTGCTGGTATCCCGAACAGTTGAGCAAGTGCCTCGCGCTCTAGTTCATTGACTGGTTGGGGCTTTGGTCTGTAGGCCCCATGTTGCAAGTAGTGCAGGCCTGACTGTCGGGGCTCCGGTCTACATTGTAATTGCTCAAGGAAACCAGCACAATTCAGCATGGTCACCAACCAATGAGTCTATCAAATCAAACAAGAAAAGAAATTAATATCTCCCTGTAAGCTTTGGGTAAGCATACATAATTTATATATTTGATTTTTTTCTTCAAAATTGGTAGTTTGAAGGCAGATTGACAAAATGTGGTTTACATACAAAAATGTATAACCAAATTTGCATACTCGCAATAATAATAGTCTTAGGGCTATGTCTCCTTTTCAGTTTATCAAAAAACACAACTATTAACTTAAGTTTGTGAACCACAACTTTGAGATGACCTAGGACCTACGTGGTGATAAAGTGGTATATAAGAAACTCAAGTTATTATTATTAATATTAGTATAAAGGATCACATGTATATGACATTTAACAACAAAACTAGTTATGTATTCCCAATAGTATTTTCATCTGAATATGCGTCTCTTTCTATATTATCTGAAGTTCATTGATGAGATAAAGATTCGATATAATGTAACTTAACATGTTAGGTTTATTGCATGTTACGCTATGTTGAGATACCTTGCCCCTATCCTAGAGCAGAGTTGTCCTCTCTAAAGTTTAGTACAAGTCCTTTTCGAAAACGACAAGAGGAAGTTTTGAAGTTGTACATACAACATGCATACATTATATAGGACCGGTCAAAACAACAAACATACAGCTCATCTAGCAACATCTGGCCTTTCCTTGCCCCCACTCCGCTCTCAATTACCCAACCTTAACACATCTTAAACATTAACAAATCATACTACATTACTATTCACAAGATCATACCTCCTATTGTTCATATATAATGAGACATGTGCAGATAGTTAATAACTGCGTTCTCATCTATCTATGTCCATGCCTGACTGACCTATCTGTCAATGGATACAGTCTCCTATCACAAATTACAATTCCACCCCCTCCCTCCACCCACCCCCTGTCATTCAATTGACCATCATAATTATTGTGAACATAACGTTAGACCTCAGTTATACTTTTTATGTGCTGCTCTCTCTATTGATACCAGCTACTGCTGCATGATATAATTAGTTCTGTTCATCTTAATTTATTGTCAAATTATCAACATATTTTGTTACATTAGACTGTACCTCCATCTTCTTGACTGCATTCAGCTCCGGTTTCTGGAGTAAGTGATACATTCAGACAGGGTCTTATTGAATCTTTCGTAAGGAAACATCCAGAAGTTGCTAGGAGGTCCATAAAACTTCACATAACTCGGCAGATGGAGTAAATGCATCACAAAGCTCTGCAACAAAAATCCAGCATTATACAATCATGCTACGGAAACAACTGACTGTTCAAGAAGAGTCCTTCTGATGCCTTACTGTGTAACAATCTGATAGGTACCCTTTATCATATGGCCTTTTTGACCATGTACTAATACGGATAAGTGTTATTTAAGGTGGATATCAACCACTCAACATCGTTTCTTTCATGGGCAGATCATAAACATGAATCATTATAGTCTTTTGACGAATGACATTTAACAATCAGTCTCGTCAGACAATCAACTCCACACGACACAAACTCTGGTGCCAATTAAAATCCCTATCATATCTGAACACATTTTTGAAGAATTTGGCTATAGAAGCATTCTTTAACATCAACTCCGGAAATTATAGATAACTCTTCAAAAGATTTCACTTTTTAATGAACCTTAGACCTAATTAGGGACTTATCTAGCCCTTTTGGAAATCATATCTAAATACACTGATTTTTTCACAAAATGTCATTAAAACTGTGAAAACAACCTTTATATAACAGATTTTGCAGTTACATTCATTATCATTTTGTATACAAGATGGAACAAATCAGGGTAAAAAAGTCATTGGTAATAATAAAACGGCCAAAATGATGAATTGAAACAAAAATATTGCGTATTTGTTCCATTTACCTTAAGATATTAAGGGAAATCCCTTTCCATTCTGCATAAAGTGACATGCCATCCTTCTGCAAATTGGTCGATGGTGTCCAAGGCTGTAGGCGATTTGAATAGTGTCTCAAATCGCATCAGAAAGTTGGTGAGATACTCCCGCTGCTCAGTACCAAGCATATACCTCAAACAATACCGCAATACTCCATTGGTAAACAACTGCAAAATGAATAAAAATGAGTTAAACAATTTGTTATTAAAGGCAGTGAAAAGTTAAACTACTTTCAATTATATAATAATTTATAAAAGCGATACATAAATACATGTAGCTTGTCAGTTTAATAATGATTTCCATGTAACAAGCAGTTTAAATTCCATCAGAGAGAGGGGAGGGATGGGGAATCACAGATGCTTCATATTTAAAATGTCCCGGGGAATAAGAGACTATGGTTGCAATGCCAAACCACAAACTTAAATATGGATCATTGGACCAGTATAGCCTGTTGTATCACTTTCACAATGTAATGTATCAAAAAGGTTGACCCAAGATGACAGGCAATAAATAATGCTTTCAGCCCATTAGACTTTACAGGTCATCTTCAATACTAATGTATGAAAGTTCTTTGTGACATAAAATATACCTCCTGTGTGTATCAACAAGGTTGACCGAAAGAACTTGTATTATAACTTTCATTAACAATGCAATGTTAGACAGTTTTATAAGGTAAAATCAGCCCCAAGGCCTAATGCATACCTGAGGATGTGGTAACATAAACTAAATGGTGTTTAACCAGTCAGAGTAATAGGAACTGACATATGCAAGCGTTCCCCTATTGCGATCAGAATTTCTTAAAATAATTATTCCTTTGTGCACTCACCTTGATCTTGGCCCATGTTCTCCTATCTTTTGTGTATGGCAAAGGATTCACTAGTTTCTCTCCTGGTCTTTCTCAGAATGAGATGGAATTATTTGTTCTTCAATGTCTCTTCCATATCTGGATATCAAAATGGCCAGTATTAAATCAGTGTTTCAGGTAAAACGTAGGTGATATAATTCACTTATGAAAGATTGTGCATACTGTTCAGCTATTTGAACATTGTATCCGAATGTTATACATTATACTTGAAACATTATAACATGACTTTGTTTTCCTTTTATGAAAACTATTTATTTTCAAACATTTATCAAGGCATTTCCCTGAATAAGGGAACATGCAATATATCATTGAAATATTGAATCGCTCATAAACATTTTTCACAACAGGGTAGCTTATAACAGCTGCTATTGCCACAGCATGACCGTCACTGAATAAAGATACTTCAGTACTAAAAATTGAACAAATATACAATCTCATTTCAGACTTAATACAATCTCAACGTGTAATTATTACTGTGCTCATCATAAACTTCAGACTTGTATTCTAACATTCTGCAAGAAAGGGGTAAATTCGTTAAAAAAATGAAAAAATAATTCTGATAATAAAGCATTTTAAACAACTCTCTGGCTAGAACTGTTGTAAAAATAGCAGATTAATACACTTCTTGCGCAAATAACCATACGAATATGGTAAAGCCAATTAAATATGAATGTATTTACGTCCCCTTGATATGAGCGCTAAGTCCTGATGATCCCCAAAGAACTTTTATTATAAAAACAAGTTCGAACACTGCTATAGAAGGACAAGTGCGAAACAAGGCATAACTTTAGGAGGTAGCACAATCTATATTCTTTATTCACAGCCGCTCTATGAAAGGGGTCTGTTTACCATATTGAAATTAGTGCAGTTCTTAAGGATGAATAAGAAAAAAACACTGTGTCTACAGACAGGCGATTAGACATTCTGTTAAAATATAAACCCCCATCCCATACAACTTTGTTGCAGGAGGTATTATATAACAGAATAACAAGTTTCATTAAAATCTGAATGACATATCACCATGTTAGAGTAATGCCATTTTTCCCATTAATAGAATTAGTTGCTTTTGTATGCTGAAATGGAAACTAAGTCTCTCAGACAAATCTTATAAAATAATACAAATTATTGCAAGCAATCCAATGTCCCCAATTTGTTAACACAACTAGGACATAAAATTGAACTCCAACGATGTGTAATTTTGGAGGTTTGTTTTGAGATGCAGATTATACTTACTTGTACTGCAGCTCCTGTCTGGGTGCTGGAACTTGTTGAAACTCGAGCAGTTCTGTTGCCAGTAACTCTCGCCCTCTTGGTTTAGGTGGATCTCTGTGCTGATGAGAAATAAACATGTTGATGAAATTTGAAGTTAAACACACTGAATTTCATGCTTTAGTTTAATGGCAGTGGCTATTTATGAAGGACTTTTTTATTAACAGAATATTTTTATATGCACAAATGATTTATTTTCTTACACATTTGTTAATTTTTGTATTTGCTCTCTTTCTCTTGGCCCTCAAAGACATCTAAATCGAAGGTCATAATGTGTAATAATGAATTATAAACCAACTTATAACAATTTTCCAGATGATTTTTTATAGATGATGCACCTTAAAATCCAAATCTTACTTGTCTGAATGTAAAGTCTTCAAAAACATCAAATGTCTTGATATTTATTTTCTGATGGATTTTGTGATTCCAGTATGTTCAAAACTCAGGTTTGGACACATTTGCTTTACCTGTCAAAATTAAACAATGTAAAACATACCTTTAGATTTCACTTTTTGTTGGGAGAAAGTACACTTATTTAAGTGTAAATATTCAAGTATTGTACCTGGTATACTTTTTGTCACAAGATAATTTACCAGGTTGTAGACCCCTTTCTTGTGTTATCATATTAACTATTCTCAACATACTGTTTGTACATTTGAAACTTTTTGAGATAATACTCAAAAACAACATCAGGTTTCTGACTTGTCGGTTACGCATCCCTTTGACGTCAAATTTCTGCACACCTCCTCTTATAACAGCATTTAAAATAATCATTTCTCTTTTATTTCTACAGTTCTCTTCAATTCATTTGGAAAATAATGCTTTCAGATTTAAACATACATCTATATCTACCATTGATGATTTTAGCTTTAATATATCAATTTAGCTAATATGCCAAATTTGTTTTGTTAAATTGTTAAGTGTAATTTTATATTTTTCCTTCATATTTTTAACGAAGGTTTAAATATATGAACACAATTTAGTGACATCTCTTACAACAACCTAAAGTAAACCTTAAATCAAAAATTTACAAGAGGCCCAATGGGCCTGCATCGCTCACCAGGTATTAATCTCACACTTGTAATCTTAAAAGTGGACTAAAATACAGCTACAGGCAGAATATCAGTGTGGCCCTGAATGTCAAACAATGACATTATGTTGAAAGTGGGTCAAGGTCATTCATTTGAACAAATTTGGTAGACCTGATTGCTGCAGGCCAAATAGCAGTACCCTGGGCCTTTTGGTTATTGAAAAGAAGTTATTTGAAGATTTTGAGACATTTGACACCTGTGACCTTGAAAATTGGTCAAGGTCATTCATTTGAACAAACTTGGTAGCCCTTCATCCCAGCATGCTGCTGGCCAAATATCATCACCCTGGGCATTTTGGTTATCCAGAAGAAGTTGTTTAAAGGTTTTAAACATATTTGAGGGGTGTGACCTTGAAAATGGATGAAGGTCATTGATTTGAACTAATTTGGTAGCCCTTCATCCCAGCATGCTACTGGCCAAATATTATCACCTTAGGCCTCTTGGTTATTTAGAAGAAGTTGTTTAAATGTTTTGAACATATTTGACCCCTGTGACCTTGAATATAAGTCAAGGTCATTAATTTGAACAAACCTGGTAGCTATTCAACCCAGCATGTTACTGGACAAATATCATCACCCTAGGCCTCTTGATTATTCAGAAGAAGTTGTTGAAAGGTTTTTAAACATATTTGACCCCTGTGACCCAGAATATAAATCAAGGTCATTTATTTGAACAAACTTGGTAGCCCTTCATCCCAGCATGTTACTGACCAAATTTATGCACCCAAGGCCTATTGGTTATTCAGAAGAAGTTGTTTAAAGGTTTTTAAACATATTTGACCCCTGTGACCTTGAAAATGGATGAAGGTCATTTATTTGAACAAACTTTGTAGCCCTTCATCCCAGCATGTTACTGGCCAAATAGCATAACCCTAGGCATATCGGTTATTCAGAAGAAGTTGTTGAAAGGTTTTAAACATATTTGACCCCTGTGAGCTTAAATATAAACCAAGATCATTTATTTGAACAAACTTGGTAGCCCTTTATCCCAGCATGTTACTGGCCAAATTTAGGCACCCTAGGCCTCTTGGTTATTCAGAAGAAGTTGTTTAAAGGTTTTTAAACATATTTGACCCCTGTGACCTTGAAAATGGATGAAGGTCATTTATTTGAACAAACTCGGTAGCCCTTCATCCCAGCATGCTTCTGGCCAAATATCATCACCCTAGGCATATCGGTTATTCAGAAGAAGTTGTTGAAAGGTTTTAAACATATTTGACCCCTGTGACCTTGAAAATGGATGAAGGTCATTTATTTGAACAAACTTGGTAGCCCTTCATCCCAGCATCCTTCTGGCCAAATATCATCACCCTGGTCATTTTGGTTATTCAGAAGAAGTTGTATAAAGTAAAATGTTGACGACGGACAGACGGACGGACAACGGACGATGCACCATGCCTTCGGGCCAGGTGAGCTAAAAATCAAAAGAGCGTCTGGCAATATGATGACTTCAGCAATTGGATCTGTTGATATATTATGTTTCACTTGTACAGAATGTTTGGTCAAAAGAACGCAACAAAAAGCAAGGACTTTTGATGTAGTCTTTAAAACGAGTTGAGTAACACTGAAATAGTTGTCAAACAAAGAATTAATGTGACACTTTTTATGCATCAATTATAATATATATTAAATTATTAATACATACATTTAGGAAACTTCTTCCTTCCTTGTATACATTCCTGTCATGTATGTCCTAATTTGGAACTTTCTCCAAATAATGCCTTTCATCAAATTCTGTACCGGGGAACAAGAATTCCAGTCTCCATGGGACAGATGTAGATGGTCTTATATTTGAAGTCTGTGGTGGTGTGACCATGACCTGTGTTGGTGGATAAAATGCTGGTAGTACATCAGGGCGTACGGGTAGGTTAAGCTCTGTATTTCCATAGAAGGCTTGTTGCTGGTAAAAGCCTGTAATATAATGTAAACATTGATAGAATATGGATAAAATATAAACCGAGAAATATTCAATAGAAACCCAAAATCTCTTTATTTCGTTAAGTTTTTCCTATGAAAACATAAACCAAACTTCCAGTTGAAATTGTAGTTTTTAGCTCACCTGACACGAAGTACCAAGTGAGCTTATGCCGTGGTGCGGCGTTCGTTCGTCGTCCGTCTGTCTTCAATATTTTACTTTAAAAGACTTCTTGATGATATTTGGCCAGTAGCATGCTGGAATGAAGGGCTACCAAGTTTGTTCAAATAAATGACCTTCACCCATTTTCAAGGTCACAGGGGTCAATTGTCTTAGAAATCTTTAAACTTCTTCTGAATAACTGAAGGCCGAGGATAATGATATTTAGCCAGTAACATGCTATCATAAAGGGCTACTAAGTTTTGTTAAAATGAATGACCTTTACCTATATTCAAGGTCACAGGGGTCAAATATGTTTAAAACCTTTAAACAACTTCTGCTCGATAACCAAGAAGCCTAGGATAATGATATTTGGCCAGTAACATGCTGGTTTAAAGGGCTACCAAGTTTGTTCAAACAAATGACCTTTATTTATATTCAAGGTCACATATTGAAATTAAGACTGAAGTTCCACAGGTTCAATACTTGGACCGTTCTTGTTTTGATAGGTTGTTTTATGAATGCTTTTTTTCTTTACAATACTAAGGCTGTCAAAATTTATTAGAAACTTCTGTATCGCAATACACCGGAATACCATACTGTATCACAATATTGAAATAAAAAATCATTGTATCTGTAAACTTATTAAAATCTTATTTGTATCTACATCAGGAGAGGTTTTTAACTTGGCAAATTACTACACTTTCTCTTACTCTTGCTGGTGCCAGCTTGTCAAATTGGTAATTGTTGGGCAAGCAGAAATTTATTTCAGGCAAATGAATCATTAGTTTCAACCTTCCCAGGGGGCTAGTATTCTAAAAAGAAACATTTTACATCCCTGTCCAATGGTGTATTCCTTTCGTCTGTGCGGGATGTGATAGAGACACTGTGCGAGTTCTGCGTCAATGGAATGCTTCAGAACAGGAGTCAGGGTAAACAATATGGCGGTCAGAGTAGTCGCTATACTTTCACTTTTATTAGAGGACACGGAGGACACCGAAGATGACAACTTCGGAGACGACGAAGCTGTGGTTGCTTTCATTGCGGCTTCTATGTAAGTTTAGATTCCATTATGCGTGTTCAAATTAGAAATAATCAAGAGAAATTGATATTATAACATCGCTCCATACTAGAAGATTAGTACCTTATGTGAAAGAAACGTTATGTTCATAATCGTGTAGGTCTACAGTACTGAATGTAAACAAAACGAGCGAGTGACAACACTTTCCCCCGTATCCACTTTTTAGTAGACAGATTATCAATTTCAAGACTTACGCTCTACTATAACTTTTGTTCCCCTTAAAAAAGTATTAAATACGGATTTTCCTAATCATCAAATGGAGGTTATTTACGTGATTTTTTTGTTTTATAGGTTTTGCGTATTTTACTTTTCAGTGTTCGTGAGGAAAGGGTGAGAATACAAAGTTACACGGAGCAAATTGTACCTCATTACCTGCTGGATGATTTTAAGAGGTTCTTCAGGGTCTCCAGATCAACATTCGAGATTTTGTATGAAAATATTTCTGCTTATGGTGATCTTGCACCAGGGTGGACTGGAGGAAGGGAGCCAATACCTATCGATAAGCAGTTACTGATGATGTTGTGGTATGTTTCTAGTCACGAGACACTAAATCGCATAGCTGATAGATTCAATGTCACAGAATCATCCATGGTGAGGACCAGGGACCGTCTCTTCAGTGTATTTATTGAACATTTAAAAGAAGAAGAAAATATTTTGGCCACAGGGAAATGATAAAGCCGACATAATTAGAGGATTTGCAAGAAAAGCTAATTTTCCTGATGTAGTGAGTGCCATTGATGGTACTCGTATTAAAATAAAAGCACCAAGTCAACCTCGAGAGAGCTATGTGAACCGAAAAGGTTTCCATTCGATTATTTTACAGGCTGTATGTCGGGAGGACATGAGATTCATACATGTAGTTGCAGGATGGCCAGGTAGCTGCCACGACGCTCGAGTTCTCAGAAACTGTGATTTATGGGATGAAGGTCCGTCCTGCCAGATGTGGAGATGCTCATATAATCGGAGACGCAGCTTTTCCCATTAGAAAATGGTTGCTAACACCATACAGGAATAATGGTCATCTGACCCACCAACAACAACACTACAACACAGCCTTATCAACTACTCGTGCTACTGTTGAACGTGCTTTTGGGATGTTTAAAGGTCGGTTTTCTCTACTCCAGTATGTTGATACAAAGAAGATCAAAACAACTGTTGATCTGGTAGTAACATGTTGTATTCTACACAATATTTGTATTTTAAATGAAGATGATGTATCTGATCATTTTGAAGATGACAACCACATTCTTCCCCATGGTGTACAAGCACTACAAGGCATGGATGATGTTGAGGGGCTTAGAAAGCGGGAACATCTTACAAGGAACTTACAAACATATGAAATTTATTCCAAAAGACTTGTTCATATACCGGTATTATTGTATAGAAATAGTGGGAACATTTTTACCAAAAACACTTTGAATTTGACAAACAAGGAGAATCAATATAGCTGCATTTTCCATATAGTATTATGATGCAACTACTTTGACATTTTGAAAATATATAACAAAACAATTATTATATGTTTTGCTCCTTTATTCAACATTACAACCTGTAAAAAATATCAAAAACAAAAATATATAATCAGATAAACAATAAAATATTGTCAAAAAGTAACGAAAACAACATGCTGAAGGCTTGCCTGAGCCCAGAGCACCAAAAATATCACAGGACATCATCATACACATGACTAGAATTACACAATTCGATGGTTTATACAACAAGAGGCCCAAGGGCCATAGCGGTCACCTGAGTTATATCATAGGTACTGGTAGCTTTATTTTATTGTTTAGATGTGATGTGGAAATCAGCATGTAAACTAAGTGAAATACAATACTTGTCATGTCATCAAAGGATTGTTTGTTTGATTTTGTTTAACGTCCTATTAACAGCTAAGGTCATTTAAGGACGGCCTCCCCTGTGTGCAAGATGCATGCGTGTAGTGTTTGTGTGTGTATTTTGGGAGGCTGCGATATGTTCGTGGTTGTCTTCTTGTAATAGCGCGGAACTGATGCCGACTTTATAGTGCTACCTCACTGAAACATACTGCCGAAGACACCCAGCAGGACGCCCCACCCGGTCACATTATACTGACAACG